CCCCTGGGGTATAAGGCAATTTCCATTGATAGTATCATTATCCAATGGCACAGAATTTAACATACTCGATGAGACGAGGTTATGCAAGAATAGCACAGCACCCAACTGCAATCCATGAGTTGTTGATTTGTACAGATATAATTCATAAATGATTGAGCTCTGTTTACATTGACCAAGGGAGTTGGTGCTAGGGAAAATTTCCTGTAACATTTATTTACAGGTTAATGGCCTTGCTTTTAATTTGCTTCAGCTTCATTCTGAACTTGCATATGAGCACTTGGTGGTCTGCTCCCCAGTCAACTCATGGCCTTGCTTTGGCTGATAACAATTAGTTTCTCTATCTTTTCAGACAGTGTGATCAGTTTATTCCTGTGTGTTCCATCTGGTGAGGTTCATGTGTACAGCCACCATTTATGCTTTTGAAGTGGTATTTGCGATGAAGAAGGTTGTTGGATTTGCAAATGTCTATCCTGAGATCTCCACCTTTGTTCCTTTGTCCATAATTTTCAACTTTCAACCACTGTCTATTCCTGTTTGTTTCTAACTTTAACATTCCAAACAGCAGTAATTACTAATGCATCCTGAGTGTGTGTTTGATCTATTTCAGACTGAAGAAATTGATAAATACTTCTTGACTAATGTTAGTGGCTGGTTTTAAGCATGAATAATAGCAATGGTAACAGATATTTCTTGCAGCTATTATTATGCCACAAACAGCATTATATTTCAATATAGTAGTAGGCAGTTACATCTCAGACTGTTATCTTCCTATATGCTTGCCCTTGAACAATATAGGTGTTAGGGAAACTGACCTCCTTTGCAATTGAAAATCCACTTGTAATTTACATGGTCTTAAGTTGCAGATGACTACTTATGCAGGATTTTTTCTCTTTTGCTGGTGGTAGCTCAAAGTGTTGCAACTGCTTAAACTGTTACATGATACTAATTAACCTCATATGTGCAGTTCCTTAGATAACGATTAGCATCACAGGATGATTTAAGGCACAGTTTGTAGCACTTTAGCTCACTGAGATAGCAACAGGAAAAAGTGTGATCTATTTAGTTGGCCTGTGCAGTTCAGATCATTGATTAAGGCCCAACTACATATTGAAGTAAAATCTAGAAAGCACTTAGAAAGTGAGCCAAGGATTGAACAGTAGCCATTTAACTTTTAATTACCTATATTCAATACATTAAAAATAAATCCTTTTAAAAGCTTTCTCATTTAAATTCCATGCCATATAGCTCTTACTTCCGACTCTGAATAGTTTTCAGAGATGAGAACCAACTAACTTGTATATCATTGGGATGTGCATTGCAACTTCAGATGCATTCTAATTCATTATCAATGATCCAGTTTTCACTTGATATATTGTGAATTCATTTCGGTGGTAGTATGTGCATAAAATTAAAGGTGGACTATTAACTATTATTAGATAATTGCTAAATATATACTGAAAGCAAGGTGAATGAATTAGTTTTATGTAATATGTGTTATTGTTAGGTTCAAGCAAGTTGGCTGCAACCCTGTGCACAACAGAACGAAATACTGATACTGCACGGTCCTGTGCCATCCTCACAATTATTCCTATGCGCAAGCTCATTAATGCAGCCACTGTTGACAATCCGTCTTATTGAGGGCCTTCTCCTTTTTTACTGCCTTTTCACGGTACCAAACACGCTGTTCTTCTCCAAGGACTGGTCTCTCCTGATAAATGGCAGTGAGTTTTGGGAGGAAATCCACAAACTGCAGTTGGCTGTCATCTTTGAGCTGGCAAACATCTTTGAGCAGAGCAGCAACCTTTTGAAACCTTGCTTTAGTGTTACCTAAGTTTGTTCTCACTGTGAAACAGTTGCACTAACCGCTACTGGCAAAAAGGTCTTCATCACAATCACCTGCACTTGCTGCATGTGCAACTTTTAAATCACTGAAGAGACTTTGATGGTCCCAGATGTCAGATGGCACAGGGCTGGGCTGTGTTTGATTCCGTTATCCACATGGTCACTGCGTTGGATCTAACTTGAGGCCCCTTACAACAACAGTAGTTACATTGTAGCTTTTAATCTGATCAAGAATGAAGTAGGAGCAGTGAGTGTCTCATGAATCCGCTGCATGTGTGACATGTCACTGTTAAGTTTAATACCTTTACATTTGCCCAGCTCTGCCATACTCCATTTTCAGAATAATGTAAGCTAGGGTTTTAAATATAGATTATTGTTATTACAATCGTTTATATACTATATATTTCCCATTAGTCATAATATTTTGTTATTTATCTTCAATATCTTCTAACAACAGCTTTAATGAAATATAGTTCATATTTTAGGCAATCCTTTAAAAAATTTACTCAGTGTTTTTAAAATATATTCAGAGTTGTACAGCCAGTGCTACAATAAATTTTATAACATTTTTATCGTCCACAAAGCAATCTTGTGCCCATCAGTCACTCCCCTTTTCATTCCACGTTCCTCAAACCTAGGAAACTGTTACTTTCTGTTGTGGTAGACTTCATGTTCTCGTTATTTTATAGAAATGGAATCATGCATCCAGTAGGGTCTTTTGTGTCTGGCTTCAGTTTCTTATTGACACATACTTTAATGGGATATATGTGGTTTTATTACAGCTTATTTTCTCACTTGCTGATAAATTGGTCTTACAATTTCTAAAGCCTGGGTTATTTTTAAATGTTTGTCTTGGTTACCTAGTGCTGCTGGAACAGAAGCACTGCAAGTGATAGGTTTTCAAGACCAGAATTTAATTTTTCATAGTTCTAGATGCTGGGAGTACAACTCAGGATCTTGGCCATGTTGAGTCACTTTGTGACCCTCTTAGTTTCCAGTGTATATTAGCAACTCTATAGCTAGAATGAGAAACCTTATAAAATTAAGGGTTTAAAATGGAAAATTTAAATGATATACTCAATAAAAATTTAATATATTATTTAAAATGTACTACAAAGTCAGAATGTATAAAAGCAATACAGTGACTATTCTACCTCTGTGACTTAGTGGGTTTTATGTTGGGCTGTTAACCTCAAGGTCAGCAGTTAAAAAATACCGGCTGGTCCGTGGTAGAAAGATGAGACTTTCTGTACCTATTAAGCGTTATAGTCTTAGAAACCCCACGGGGCAGTTGTACCCTTTCCTGTAAGCTTGTTATGAGTCAGAAGTGACTTGATAGCAGTGAATTTAGTTGAATTTGATGCCCCAGCTGTGTATAGTTTTTCTTCCTCTTACACAGTCAAAATTATTAACATTTTGGGTATACTTTTTAGAGCTCTAAAATGAGAGATTTAGAAAAATAAGAAAATAAAATGAGAAATTTTATTATTTTTAATATTTATTTATAGATTTATCCGAACATTTCCTTTTCCTTCTCATTGTTGTTAGCTCCCCATGACCTCCTTTCTTCCCCTGCCCTACCCCTAGGCAATCATCAATCCAGTTACTATCTTTATATATCTACCTATTCTGGATTTTATATATAATACAAAACACAAACAGGAAGCAAACAAGCAGATAAAAACCCAACAACAATGGTTAGACAAAACACAGAGAAACCTCAGTCAAAAAGAAAGCAGAAAATATTAAAAAGTGGAAGAACTTTTGAATGGGTCAAAGGGAGATCAGGCGATAAGCAATTATATTTTAACCTAAGTACATTTGCCATAATCAACTTTTCATTGTTCTGTGTCTCATAGCAGGGCTAGTCATATGTCTGTACTACGGTAAGAGGGATTCACTGGAGGTTCAATCCATGTGGGGATTCTTGCAAATGGATTTTGGACTCTCAGTATCATCCATACCTTCTACAAACCAGGTGTTAACAATTTAATCTGATGCCATTGCCTCCTTCAAATTTGGATTTTATTATTTACCATCCTTGGATTACACAGACTGGTGTGCCTCTTTCATGTGGACTTAGTTGATGCCCCACTTAGATAGCCGCTTATTTGAAGACAAGCCTTTATGATTCTAGACACTGTTCTTTCTGATAGCCAGGCACTATCTGCTTTTTTCACCACACATTGGTAAAGCACCCATATCTTCATTGACCTGTGCATGAGGGTGAACATCAAGTAAGACCATGTCATAAAAACTAATTGTTCTGAGATTGGGATTATAATTAAGTGTGCGCTCTAACTCCATATACCTATGGTTTATATATGTCTCTGGCTCATATTTTAGAGATATTATCACTTTATGATAGAGAACATTATAAATCCCCCTCTTCCGCATAGATTGAACCCTGCTGGCAATGCAGGTATCTGAATGCAAACTGCACAACCTGCTCCATGGGGCAAGATGATGCTCTCTACTTCTTTAAAGATTTACAGCCTTGAAAACTATGTAGGGTCACTATGAGTGGAATCAATTTGATGGCGTAGAGTTTTGTTTTGATTTCCCCCTAAGAATAATCTCTCTCAAATTTTATGAATGATGTAAATGGAAAAGGAGTATTTACTCACATACATCCTCTTCTTACTTGTCCACGTGGCTAGATGACAAAGACCAGGTTTTTTCAGGAAATTGAATTATGTGAAAATGGAGGCTGACCACATCATTTCCTCACTGTCAAATTACACCATTACGTAACTGCCATGGAGAACACACATGCCCACAACTAGTATTGTTCTCACCTTGTTCCTAGCCATTTGTAACTGCTAGATGCTTGTTGTTAACGTACAGGATAGTCGGATAAGATATTTTTTACTATTCTACATATTATAAATGTGGAATGTTGGCTAAGGATAGAGTCTGTTAGCGAGGTGTAGGTGTAATTCTTTTTTAGCTTACTAATTTTTTTGTAGCTACCTATATTTTTGCATCAGTAAAAGTAGACATCAAAATGCTTTATTAATTTCTCTTGACTTGCTTTTTATTGCTTACCTGTACTGTGCTTATTTTTTTGTGATGGAATTACAGGAACTGGGAAAATCAATGCTTACCTGCATCCATCTTTAGGTAACATCTTCTAGCACTATTAATATCTTTTACAGTGCTCTCTCAGAGGAGGAGAAATCTACATTGCGTGCGGGACTCATCACCAACTTCAATGAGCCAATAAACCAGGTTAGTGAGAAAATGAATGCTAATTCACCTTCTCTTAAGTTTTGCTTCTTTCCCAATTAGATTTTATTTCTTAGTTGACAAAATCTTAATACACAGTGTTCATTTGTATTGTTTATATGCATATACACCTCCACTCTCAGTTGGATTTTTAATTTTGACAATCATTTGTAGACATTAAGAATTTCAGGTAGATTTGACTTATTTATGATTTAAAACTCAGGCATCATCTTATAGTATACTATTATTATTCTTAAATTCTCAAATTTTGAACTAGATTTAAAGCACATCTCTGGTATACATGCGGGGGTTTTAAAAAGTTTGTGGACAGATTCCATTATTTTTAAATTAGATTTTGCTTTAACATTTTGAAGTCTTCCCCTCATATTTGTAGTCTCATTGCAGAGAAATTAATTTTAATGATTTATAATAATATTAAAAATGCAAACTGTCAGGTTTTTGCCTGCTTTTTGGATCCATCACTTTTTAAATTCCCAGTACCCTTTGGGGATAGATAAAAGTTATGAAGTTTATTATTAGTGAGGTTTTTCTTAATGAATTTTTTTCTTTGTGTATCAAAATTATTAAATTTGTTGAAGTTAATGCTATATGTCACACTTGATTGCTTTTACTTGTATATCACAACACTGCATTTGGTGACGCTCCTCAGTTCTGTCTTGACTTCGTTAACTTATACCACGTCTCTGCTCTGCAAGACCTGGACAAGATTAAGAAGGAAAATGAATGGGGCGGAATGGAATTACTCCCATAGGAGCAGCAGATGTTAGGGAGCGTTTGGGTCACTGTGGTTAAGCCATTGTTCAGTTCTGTTAACGAGCATTTGGGAAACACTGATTTCTAGATATATCAATATTCAAATCACAATATTTCATGCTAATTTACAGTCCTAGATCAGTAGTTAGAAAAGTTCTCGGTCACAGAGCCTTCTTATATTGTTAAAACCAAAGACCCCCAAAAGGTAAATGTATTCATTTTCACTAGATTAGCAGTTAGAGAAATTTTAAAAATATTTCTTAGTTCATTTATATAAAAAAAATATTTGCTAGCATAACTTTTAAAAGTGGAAAAAATAGCTATTTCCCCAAATGGTTAAATTTAATGAGAAAAGTACAATTGCTTTACATTGTTGCGTCTCTCTTTCTTATGCGGTATTGGGTTGATTTAAGTTATGTAAGGAAACTATAGCTTTACATCGAATGGATTGTGGGCCCCTCTCAGAAGTCATGGAATACACTGAGAACCACTGTCTTAAGTAATTGTTTAGTGTAATTTTATTCATTTCTTTTGGTCATGTGTGCAACCAGTAGAAAACAGTAATTTTAACTGTGAGTGCTTTCTGTCCATTGCTTTGATTCTATACTTTCAGTTCTGGTGACTAGTATTTTCCTTCTAGATTGCAACTCAGATCGCAGTGCTCATTGCAAAAGTTGCTAGATTGGACTGCCCTAGACAGTGGCCTGAACTGATTCCCACTCTCCTAGAGTCTGTGAAAGTCCAAGATGACCTTCGACAGCACCGAGCATTGCTTACCTTCTATCATGTTACCAAGACTTTGGCATCCAAGCGCCTGGCTGCTGATAGGAAGTTGTTTTATGATGTAAGTGGTTTAATGTAGTTTTGATTATTTATGTAAACTAAGAATGACTACTTTTTCCTTAAGGTTTATATTTTATCAAAAGATGATAAATTCCATATATATATTCCGTATTTTCCTATTGCTGACTTTCCTTCCTATGCTCTGTCTCTGTTGTTTAGGCCAGTGGTTCTCAGCCTGTGGGTCGCGACCCTTTTAGGAGTCAACGACCCTTTCACAGTGGTTGCCCGATTCATAACAGTAGCAAAATTACAGTTCAATGAAAATAATTTTATGCTTGGCGCGGTCACCACAACATGAGGAATGGGTTGTGGCATTAGAAATGTTGAAAACCACTTGTTTATGCAAAGAGACCAGTTGTACATTAGATCACCAATTGGCAAGTAATTCTAGGCACTACACATTAGACTAGGATGTAGAAATGGATGTCTCATGAAACCATGACCCTAAACTTCCAAGCTTAGAAGTTTTTGATTATATGTAAGCAGCCTGAGCAGTTGCTCATTGTGAAAACATCTATTACATAACTTTTGCCACTTTAACATTTTACAAGTACATAGCTTATTGACAGCAATTAGAGTAATAAGCTGTGTAACCCTGCTCATAGTCAATGAGATTTTCCCATCACTGTTAACTCCCATTTTTACCTTCCTTGTGCCCATGGTAATCACTAGTAAACTTAGCCCTTTAAACATTTACTTTTTTCTTGTCTTTTTATGAAATGAGGTTATACAACATTTCTTCTTTAGTGGCTAATGTATTTTACTCCGTATTTTGTGTATCCATTCATCTATTGATGGGTATTTATGGTGTTTCAGTCTTTAAACTATAGTGAAGAGTGCTGTAATGAACACTGATGTCAAGGTCTCTGTCTTTGTTTTTAAGTCAATGTGTTTGTTCTTAGTAGTGGAATTGCTGGGTCATACAGTAGTTGTACTTTTAGGTATTTTGAAGAGTTGCCACACTGTTTTCTATAAAGGCCATATTGTTTTGCATTTCAAATAGTAATGGGTAAGGTTTAAAATTTCCTCACATCCTTGTCTACATGTATTATTTTCTATTAAAAAAATCTTAACCATTCTAATGCGAGTGAAATGGAATGTAACCGTAGATTTGATTTTCAGCTCCTTGGTGGCTAATGGTGTTCAGTGTCTTTTCATGTTTGTGGCAGCCGTTTGAATGTCCTCTTAGGTGAAATATCTATTCAAGTTCTTTGCCTATTTTATGGTTGTATTAGTTGTCATTTTGTTTTTAAGTTGTTGAAGTTTAGGTGTATTTTGGTTATTATATTTATTAGACTTGTTGGAAATATAGTTTGGGAAGATGCCTTCTTAGTCAATAGTCTATATTTTTATGGTTAAGGTTTTTGATGAATAAAATAAAAAATTATGAGGTCTCATTTATTTTGTCTTTTGCTATCTATGTTTTAGCACAGATAATACATACTTGATAATCCACTATTAAAAGGTAGACCTGGCAGCATTGCCTATGCTTCCCCCCCCCCTCCCCCAGGAAAATAGATATAATCTATTTGGAATGTATTTTTGTGTGAGGCATGGATCTTGTTTAATTTTCTGCATGGGGAAAAATCCATTTATTGAAGAGACAACTCTCCCTGTTGCATTAGTACTCGTGTTGACAGTAAGGTGACTGGAAGAACCACTGGTGCTCTGCTACCTCTACCAATTGTTCTGAAACGATCATATCAGAAGGCCCTGGATAGAATGGGGGAAAATGTGGAACAAATTTCAAAATGCTGAAAGAGACTATTGAGGCTGGTAGAAATCCTAAAACTAAGGCTCTTAGTTTACCTTCAGATCTGAAACTGGACGCACCTCTGTGTTAGAGTAGTTAGCTGTTTAAGATCGAAAGGGCAGCCTTTACCCAACAACAAAGTTCAAAGGGTTAAGAAAGAAAGGAATGGGTATCAAAAGATACAGCGTCTGGGATCTTAAAGGCTTGAAGGTAAACAAGCGGCCATCTAGCTCAGAAGCAGCAAACCCCACATGGAAGAAGCACACCAGTCTGTGCGCGATCATGAGGCGTCGAAGGCATCAGGTATCAGGCATCATCAGAACAAAAAAATCATATCATTGTGAATGGGGGGGAGTGCAGGGTGGAAACCCAAAGCCCATCTGTAGGCAATTGGACATCCCTTACAGAAGGGTCGCTGGGAGGAGACGAGCCAGTCGGGATGCTGTGTAGCAACGATGAAGCATACAACTTTCCTCTAGTTCCTAAATGCTTCCCCACCCTCCACCCCCGCCCCCACTATCATGATCCCAATTCTACCTTACAAATATGGCTAGACCAGAGGATGTACACTGGTACAGATAGGAGCTGGAAACACAGGTAATCCAGGGTGGATGATCCCTTCAGGACCAGTGGTGAGAGTGAGGATACCAGGAGGGTGGGGTGGAAAGGGGAAACCGATTACAAGGATCTACATATAACCTCCTCCCTTGGGGATGGACAACAGAAAAGTGGGTGAAGAGAGACGTCGGACAGTGCAAGATAAAACAAAATAATAATTTATAAATTATCAAGTGTTCATGAAGGGGTGGGGGAGCGGGGAGGGAGGGGAAAAATGAGTTGATGCCAGGGGCTTACGTGGAGAACAAATGCTTTGAGAATAATGAGGGCAATAGATGTACAAATGTGCTTTACACGATGTATGTATGGATTTGTGATAAGAGTTGTATGATCCCCTAATAAAATGATTTTAAAAAAATGACAACCAAAAAATAAAGGAATGGGAACAGGAAAGAAGTGGGATAAGTGATGGTATATTGAGATTGCAATGGATAAGTTGAATCAAAATGTGTATGATTGTTGAGTGTAAAAGTAGTTATCTACTCTGTAGACCTTCATCTAATTCATTTTTCCTTTTAAGGAAAGAAAATAGCCTATAGATAATGTGGGTTTCTTTCTTGACTTTCAATTTTATTAACTTTTTTCTACTTATACAAATACTAGGTTGTTTTGGTTATTGCAACTGTGTTATATAATATGTTTTCACATGAGAAAATGTTATAAAGTAACCTGTTCAAAGCCTATTAATATTGAAAATATGAGGTATGTATGATGCTTTGTAATAACAAATGAGTGCATTAAAATATATTAATTTCTATGTTAAAGATGTTTTAGTATATCTGCAAGTGTTTTTTAATGCCTTTTATGCAAATGTATGCTGTATACCAAGATAGACTTTTGAATAGCTGGAATTAGTTATTAAATGTATCTATCTGTTCCGACTTACATATTTGACTTAAAGACAGATTTAGGAATGGAACTTATTGGTATTTTGGAGACTGGCTATATTGCTATCTTAACAATATTAAGTTTTCCAGTCTTTGATCATTGACTTCTTTCTATTTGTCTTAATTGTTCAGCAGTATTACCATATATACTTGTGTATAAGCTGAGTTTTCCAGCACATTTATAATGCAGTTTTTGTGGTAAAATTAGGTGCCTTGGTTGATATTTGCGTTGGCTTATACTTGAGAATATACGGTACAGTGAACCCTCGTTTATCGCGGTTAATCGGTTCTAGACCCTACCGTGATAAATAAAATTCTGCGAAGTAGGATTCCTTATTTGTAAATCAAATATTTTCGTAGTTAGAGCATAGAGGACATGAAAAAACACCCTTTAGTCACCATTACACTCGT